GCAGTAAGCTAGAGTTTCCTTTGTCTGATCCTTTCAGTATGGAAGATGCTGGATCAGGCATGGGCAACCTCCTACCTTATGCCAGAACACAAACCCAGGAGGGGTTGCTAGTCCAGGAGGATTTTGGGTAATCTTGTAGTCAAAGAGTAAATGCTGACACAAGAGGGTGATTTATGTGACAGTATCATAATAAAAATCTTGCTTCATTGCATCAGAAATATAGATACAGCATAAAATCACAAAATATATTCTTTACAATATTATTGACTAAAGTTTTATTATGCTAATTCTGTACTTGCAGAGCTATTTTTACTATATTCCTTTGAAGACAATATCAAATCTACTCCAACATGACTGTATATACCCTTAACATGATCATCTTAAATACCTGAAAATGAAACATAAATATCAAAATGAAGATCACACAAGGATGACTCTTAAAAAATGACTTCTGAATTCTAAAATATATTTATTGTGACCTAAAAAAAAAAAAAAAGAATTGATAAAAAAGAACTAGAGCTCATTTTTCCTCATCTTGCTTCTATCTCCTTTCTGCTTCTTTTTGTCTCCCACTTTCTCCTTGGCTTGCTCTTCGGCAGTGATGTCCTCGCCATAAGGTTCAGAGAGACACTTCTTTTCCTTGAGGGTCTTTTTACAAACAGTTGCCTGGAGAGATTTAGTCTGATCGCCGAAGTACCAACTGCTTATATCATCTTCGTGATCTTCAATAAATTGTTCACACTGTAAAAGACACATGAAAGATTAATCAATATCAGTGGTAAAGTGGAATAAAATATTAGAAAATTGCTATTTTCTTAGAAATCCATCCTTGCATATAAAATTTTGAATAAACTATTATTTTATTCCCTTTTATTGTACTTTAGTAATCTCAGGGCTCTATGTAAACTATATTGGCATACTATATCCTGAGCTGAAATGGAAAAAAATAAAAATGTGTTTTCACTTTTCAGGAAATCATCCTTGATTGTATGAGCTAAACCTTTACTAAAGTTAATTTTAGTTTCTCTCATTAGAGACTGCCATAGATACCTGGTAACAAAATTTATGAAAAGGTATCTTTGGTGAAGTAAAAAAAAAAAAACTTATAGATAGCATAATATATATTTAACCAATAAAATGTTGGGGAAAGCCTGGAGGCCAGAGTGAATTAGTGTGTGCCTCAAGCTAGACTCCTGAAGTGGGAAAAGAGTTCATTACATAATCAGATGTCATATGGCATCACCTGTGAACTTTTCAGCTTGATGGATAGAATGTCACCTGGCATGAACACATGAAAGATTAATCAATATCAGTGGTAAAGTGGAATAAAATATTAGAAAATTGCTATTTTCTTAGAAATCCATCCTTGCATATAAAATTTTGAATAAACTATTATGTGTTTTATTCCTTTTTATTGTACTTTGGTAATCTCAGGGCTCTAAGTAAACTATACTGGCATACTATATCCTAAGCTTTCAAGAAATCATCCTTGAATTTATGAGCTAAACCTTTACTAAAGTTAATTTTAGTTTCTCTCATTAGAGACTGCCGTAGATACCTGGTAACCAAATTTATGAAAAGGTATCTTTGGTGAAGTAAAAAAAAAAAAAAATAATAATAATAATAATAATAATAATAATAATAATAATAATAATAATAATAATAATAATAATAATAATAATAATAATAATAATAATAAAATCTGTTATCTCTAACACAGAACAACTTGCCTAAATTCAACCCCTATGATATATTGAAATCTCAACCTCTTTATTAAGATATCAGTGTTTTTAATGAATCAAATTAAAAAGGACCAGACAGGAGTCCCTTCTCTACCCATTACCAAATGCCATTTTCAACCTGATTCCCATGAATCTTCCTGTACTTACGACTTATTGTATTTGGTCTTCTTCTTGGATGCATCTATGTTATATCCTGTCTCAATGACACCTGAAGAGTCCTTTGACTGCAACTTTTCCCCGAGCTCCTTCATCACCAGCTTACAAACTGCAAAAGAAAAAAAGTATGATTTTCTTCCTTAATTTCCTGTCTAAAACACATTTTGAACACTAATAAAAATGGATCTTTACCTTAAACCTCTTCCTATCAACACATAGTTGAATCGCACCAACCATTCTGACCATAAACCGACCTGAACCAACCATTCTGACCATAAACCAACCTGTACCAACCATTCTGACCATAAACCAACCTGTACCAACCATTCTGACCATAAACCGACCTGCACCAACCATTCTGACCATAAACCAACCTGTACCAACCATTCTGACCATAAACCAACCTGTACCAACCATTCTGACCATAAACCAACCTGTACCAACCATTCTGACCATAAACCGACCTGCACCAACCATTCTGACCATAAACCAACCTGTACCAACCATTCTGACCATAAACCGACCTGCACCAACCATTCTGACCATAAACCAACCTGTACCAACCATTCTGACCATAAACCAACCTGTACCAACCATTCTGACCATAAACCAACCTGTACCAACCATTCTGACCATAAACCAACCTGTACCAACCATTCTGACCATAAACCAACCTGTACCAACCATTCTGACCATAAACCAACCTGTACCAACCATTCTGACCATAAACCAACCTGTACCAACCATTCTGACCATAAACCAACCTGTACCAACCATTCTGACCATAAACCGACCTGCACCAACCATTCTGACCATAAACCAACCTGTACCAACCATTCTGACCATAAACCGACCTGCACCAACCATTCTGACCATAAACCGACCTGCACCAACCATTCTGACCATAAACCAACCTGTACCAACCATTCTGACCATAAACCAACCTGTACCAACCATTCTGACCATAAACCGACCTGCACCAACCATTCTGACCATAAACCGACCTGCACCAACCATTCTGACCATAAACCAACCTGTACCAACCATTCTGACCATAAACCGACCTGCACCAACCATTCTGACCATAAACCAACCTGTACCAACCATTCTGACCATAAACCGACCTGCACCAACCATTCTGACCATAAACCAACCTGTACCAACCATTCTGACCATAAACCAACCTGTACCAAAAACACAGCTAATAATCTAAAAATCGGTAAAAGTCACATCGGCAATACTAGGGACAGCCCTTCCCTGCCCACCTGCACCCTGCCACACCCTGTTTCTTTTGTACTTAATTACATAATGCTTTTTCTCATCCCTTCCCATTCGGTTAGCTTGCTTCTTGGTATCTTTAAAGCAATGAAATTTATTATAGACTATATGATCAGTTCTGTAACACAGTTTGTTTTTGCTAAGCATTAGGGAATTAATGGATGGAAATGATAATCCAATGCATCTATAAGCAATCATAAATGTCTTAGTTTATTCATGTATAACTATAAAGTTCTCTCATAACATAAGTAACAGGTACAATATGCAATTTTACTTGCTTCTGGGATGGCCCGAAGCAAGTAATGTATCTTATCCATGATATATATGAAACAAATTACATCATATTGAATATCCTGCTGTATATATGTATATATATATATATATATATATATATATATATATATATATATATATATATATATATATATATATAACATATACACATAAGCATATGACCAGTTAAAATGATGACAATGATGATGATAACAAATATAATAATTATAACAAAAATAATAATAATAAAATCTGTTATCTCTAACACAGAACAACTTGCCTAAATTCAACCCCTATGATATATTGAAATCTCAACCTCTTTATTAAGATATCAGTGTTTTTAATGAATCAAATTAAAAAGGACCAGACAGGAGTCCCTTCTCTACCCATTACCAAATGCCAATTTCAACCTGATTCCCATGAATCTTCCTGTACTTACGACTTATTGTATTTGGTCTTCTTCTTGGATGCATCTATGTTATATCCTGTCTCAATGACACCTGAAGAGTCCTTTGACTGCAACTTTTCCCCGAGCTCCTTCATCACCAGCTTACAAACTGCAAAAGAAAAAAAGTATGATTTTCTTCCTTAATTTCCTGTCTAAAACACATTCTGAACACTAATAAAAATGGATCTTTACCTTAAACCTCTTCCTATCAACACATAGTTGAATCGCACCAACCATTCTGACCATAAACCGACCTGCACCAACCATTCTGACCATAAACCAACCTGTACCAACCATTCTGACCATAAACCAACCTGTACCAAAAACACAGCTAATAATCTAAAAATCGGTAAAAGTCACATCGGCAATACTAGGGACAGCCCTTCCCTGCCCACCTGCACCCTGCCACACCCTGTTTCTTTTGTACTTAATTACATAATGCTTTTTCTCATCCCTTCCCATTCGGTTAGCTTGCGTCTTGGTATCTTTAAAGCAATGAAATTTATTATAGACTAAATGATCAGTTCTGTA